TAAATTCTAAATTTTTAATTTTGTCAATTTAAAACCTAAACTTTTGAATTGTTTTCAAATTAAATCATTTGTCTATTTCCGTTAAGTAAAACCAGTAAAATTTTTTTTTTTTGTATTTTAGTTATTAAACCAATGAAAAATAGTATTTTAGATAGACTACTACAAATCAAAAATTTATGATTTAAATTGACAAAATTAAAAACTTAAGAGTTTATTTTGTTACAAGGCTCAAATTTTCAATACTTTTTTTGTAATTTTTCCTAAAATATATGATCATTTGAAGAAAAAAAAAAACAAAAACAAAAACAAGAATAGATGTTGTCTAAGATCATTCTTGCATTTTAGCTGCCACAAAACCTAAACTTAAGTTCAGGGTAAAAATCAACAATCAACAAGAAGATTAAGGCCCTGTTTGATTCCAGGATATAAAGGGTGGGATTGGATATTATATACTGTGAGGTCTACATATCTCAGGTTTGCAATTTTTTTTTTAAAGAGGATATAATAAATTATGGGATTATATATCCCCCAAAATTGGAGGATATACAACACCACCATCCTCCTATTATATCATATCCCCTGGTTGGGATATGATTTAAAAAGTCCAATTGACCCTCTTGTCTATCTAATATATACACACACTAGGGCTCAAGAAAACATATGCAGCTAAAACATCCAGCAGAGAAGAAGAGCTCTGGTTTTGCAAGTGTAGATCTACCCGATTCCGTTGGCAAAACTTCTTTCCGGTGATAATCATCGTTTCCTTCTACTTTGCTCTCTTTTTTTTGATTTTTTGGTTTGGGTTTTTCTTGTATGATTTTTATCTAAAGCATTTGTGGTCCTTCCACTTATTTTTGTTCAATCTAAACCCTCTTGTCTATGATTTTTACCCTCTTGTCTATGATTTTTGGAACTTTCTAAACCCACTGTTTTTTGTTCAATCTAAATTTTCTGAACCCTTTTTTTATTTATACAAGGGTTTGTTTAATCTAGTTTTTTATTTGTTCAATCTAGTTTTGATGGACATAAGGGCAATATGGGTATTTTAAAATATATTATGAAGGCAATCTTGGAAATTATTTGTTTATATCCCACAATATATTTTGTAAAACAAACATAGATAATATATATCTAGTCTTATATATCAAATCAACAAACATGATTTGGGATATATTATCCAATATATATCCTATTCATTATATATCCTGACTAAATCCTACATCATATTATATCCTCCATTTTATATCGTGAAACAAATAGGGCCTAAAAGATCTAACATCATCCAGCAACAATTCAGACCATTGAAAATTGATCAAAAATAAAATAAGCAAAGAGAACTGCAATCTGATTATAGGATCATTATGAAATACTGAATCACAAAGATGATTGAATATATCAAGAGATAGAATATAGTAGTCAATCAAATGAATTTTACTATTACAAACATGAACAAGTCTTGGCAAACAACAAAACGAGGATTTCCTTGTGTTGTTAATTAAGGGTTTCCAAGACTCAATTTCTAGAATTTGTAGAGATATGATCTGAACAAAGGGGATGGCAGATTTAATTTCTTGAAATAATTGAGAAAAATGAAGGAACAAAATCACAACTGTATACAAATCCAAGAGAAGGAGGGATATGTAAAACTATGTTATTAATCAAACTGATTGGTGTCTCACTATTCCTGCATATTTTTGGAAGCTCACTGTAGGAAGGAAACCTCAGAGAGAGACAGAGACAACAAGAAATTAAAAATTACAATATCTCTGTATTTTTCAATCACTCTCCTTTGATTTGCGCATACACGTACTCCCAGGAGCAGAGCAGGTTGGGTATGGCCTGAGCCAAGTTGGGGTCGGTTAGGGTTCGGAGCAGACTTGCATGTCAATCCAAACCCAAACCTGCATTATGCATACTAATATAATCTATATATACACACACATATAGAAGTAACTCCATATTCGATGGAAGCATGAATAATTGCAAGCAATGAAGCAAGAAAAAAAAAACACTCTGAGATTCGAATCAAACAATGGAATAATTACATACGTAACGTATGGAAAAGAGGCCACCAGCATAAGGCTTTCCACATTCGACATAAAATGGAGGAAAGAGTACAAGTACAGTAGAAATCTTGCAAATCTCATACATATGTCTAAGAGGTTCTTAAAATTTTAGGGGGAATCATGGCCCCTGCTTGTCCCCCTCCCTCGGCCCTTGAATATTGGAGTGAGTGAGGATATTACAAACGTCTTTCTCCCTCATCTCATAATGTTTGATTTTATTTGTTCTACAAATCAAAAGAAGAAAAAGAACCATACATTCATACATCTCTTCGTTTGTTGTTTCCATCATCTGATAAAATCACACCAAATCACATTTCAACTTGAAGCTAATGGGTTTATATCAGATTGAAAGTTAGGGCCACTCCACCCAAGAAAAAAGAAAAAAAATATCTTTAAATTAATTCCAAAAATATTTGTGTCATTGACCCCCAAATATTATTTATCATCCACCCACGAACATGAATTGAGTTGCCAAACTTAGATAAGTTAAGGCACCATTTGAATGTTTGAGAAGTGGAAATAACTCATGTATGTTTATGGAAGACTAATGTGTCAACAAATTCAGTGCAAGTTATATACTTTAGCCCCTTGTACAAAATCACTATTATCATGGGTTTGCCAAAATTCACCAGTGTACCACAGTGCTCAGAGTGGAAAGCACTTCATCTCTCTAGGTCACCCACTGGGGTGTTATCCCCCCCACCCAAAAATAAATAAATAAAAATCAAATATTTGACACAATATTTATAAAATATTTAATAATTTATTTAAGTTTTCTAGCGTTTATGTATTGTTCATGAGCAAATTCCAGAGTTCCTAGTATTAAATGTATAGAACTACTCGATTTTAATTTCAAAGTTCTCTCCATTTGAAAATTATCAATAAAAAATAAGTAAGAAAGTCTTTAAATGCACTTCAAAAACTAATTGTTGCCAATGCCTCATTCTTATAGACACTTCATTTTGAAATTTTAAATTTAGTTAATATATTTTTTAATATCTCAAATAATTTTTAACTTATCCCCTACCCATCCAGCTCACCAATGCCACCTTTGCCACTCCCTTCCCTCCCTTTCCACCACTGACAATCTCTCCTCTCTCTTCCACCCCTCTCATTCGTTCCTCGATGCTCCCTATCCCTCTCATCCCCTCTCTCAAATTCCAACCCTAATCCTATCCCCACCATCCACCATTTACAGTAGAGAAAGAGAGTTGTAATGGAGAAGAGAGAGTCACGAGAGTTGTCCTATTAGCAAGATCTCATTATTAGAATATTTTATAACCTTAAGCTAGCTTTTCAAAATGATATAACAGCGATATTTAAAAATAAAATATTTTAAGTAGGATTAAAATAAATAATAATAAATAATAAAAAAAAGAACTTTTCACTTGCAGCAAAGACTCCAATTTCATCAGCAAAAAAACAAGAAAAAAAGAAAAGGAAAGCAAATGATGAGAAAGGGACTATGGATAATGATCCTAGTAAAGATTAAAATAAAAAAACCAGTCATCGTATGGGTATGTAGCCCCAACCAGCATATTGAGATGCACATGTTGTAAAGTTGCAGCCACCATGATTCACACACTTTTTCATTGTTTTTTCTTTTCTTTATCTTATTTTATTTTATTTCACCATCAAAGAACCTATTTCAAAGATAAAAAAATCCAATCACTATTATCCATTTGTATTAGTAGTTTATATAATGTCTCATGAGCAAGGATTCTCTCCTTGACTTTCCTACTTGACTCCCTACTTGATAGGTCATTGGATCCACTTTTGGGCTCAATTTCGATGATCCGAATCGTTCACATTTTAAAATTTGTCATGTATATCATACTTGTAAAAAATCAAATTGATCGAATATCAGAAGAACTAAAAACCGTTTATTAAAAAAATTTAATAAAAAGTTTTATTGTTTAATAAAACTTTTAGTTCACGTAGTTTTTGATATCCGATTGACTTGATTTTTTACAGGTATGATATACATGAAAAATTTTAAAATATGAATGGTTCAGATCATTAAAATTCAACCCAAAAGTTGACCCAATGGCCCATCAAGTAGGAAATTAAGTAGGAGTGTCAAGGAGGGGATCCTTGCTCAGAGCTAATGATATCTACAAACAAAGCAATTGAATTTCACTCTGCCTATGAAGCCCCATGAGAGACAAGCGTGCAACACTAATAGCTAGGTGTGTGACAATAACACCTTTCCCAAATACACAGAAAATTGCAGGTTGTTGGATACTATTCTCAAATTTAATGTCACATTTTCAAATCTGAAACACATGAATCCTTGACAATTTTTATTCAAGGAAATATGAACTTCATTCAATTCTTGAGAAGTTGAGCTAAGGTGCCCCCATACCAATAAAAGCAATAGTCACATGAGAAGCTAATTTAACTCACCTTGGACTGCTGGACAAGAGACAAGGTAAGCCCCATCCCTCCCCTTTTGCACGGCTTCATTGGTCAAGAACACCATATACGCAAGCCACGATGATTCTCTGGCCTACTAACATATTTTCTCATCACGCACTAGCTCCAAGGACATTCTCTTCTAATGTTACTCTCCTTATGCTCCATTTACTGCTAATTTCAATCACCCATTACCAGTCACACTTGATCATAATAACATTCTTTTATGGTGAGCTCAATCATGACCTCAAAAGATACATAAATGGCAGTCACCCTAACCCGCTTTGTCTCATTCAATCCACTTCTTCACCTACCTCTGCTTGAAATGAAAAATGATATCCCACCATTACCAGCTTATGTTGCCTGAAAAAGCAAGATCAATTGCTTCTGAGTTCAATGCTCATCCTTACTCATCAGTGTATCAGTTCAAACAATTTCATTCTATTGAAAAAATCAATTCACCTGCCACAATAGTAGCTCTTTTATCACTGAATCAAATATATTGCGTGTATCAAAAATTTATGTAACCAGAAAACCCTCTTCCATTGTAAAATCGTTGTCTGATACATACCCAACCTTCTTCATTTTCACATGAAGATCATGAATTAAAGAATAAATAAGATTAGCTTCGCTATGTGATTTATCACCAACTACAAACACATGAACCTTGTTTCCGACATCAATCCAGCTACAACCCGGCTGCTTCTTCAACCCCTTGTCCTTCATTTTCAACCTAAGTCTCGCAGCTTCTCTCCATTTCCCACTTGAAGCATATATGTTAGACAGCAACATATAAGTACCTGCATTTTCTGGCTCTAATTCCAAAAGTCTCTTTGCAGCCAATTTCCCCATATTTGTGTTCCCGTGAACATTACATCCAGCAAGAAAAGCCCCCCAAACAGAACCAGAAGGCTCAAATGGAAGCTGCTGAATAAAATCAAAAGCCTCCTTGACCCTCCCCGCTCGACCACAGAGATCAACCAAGCATGAATAGTGATCTTGTCGCACTTGTATTGATTTGTCTTTTATGAGCTCGTCAAAGTACTTCAATCCCTCGTCCACCAAACCAGCATGGCTGCACGCTGCAAGCAACCCCACATACGTCACATCATTGGGTTTGATTCCTAAGTTCTGCATTTCTTTGAAAAGGCTGATTGCCTCACCGCCACATCCATGGTGAGCATAGGCTGCAATCATTCCATTCCATGAGATCAAATCTCTCTGGCCTGCAAATCCATAATTAAATATTACAAAACCCTAATGTAATGCATATATATAGTCTTAAGTTGCTTTTATTTTTATATTTTTATTTTTGTTGTTTAGAGAACATGGAAAGCATTTATCATTATTCTTGTTTTCAATGCTATGTGTATTATATCATTTAATATTTAATTTTTCCAATATGTAATTCTTTAATTTGTACTTTGTTTCGTTATTATTCATTTATGTGTGTTTATCTTTTTAGCAATGGGTTAGAAAGTGTCGAACACTGTATCAAATTTGTTATCAAATTTAAATTTGATAAAACATGTTATTTTTTATGTTCCAATCATGATATCAAATTCATATCAAATGAAAGTAAAACCAAAACTTTTATCAAATCTATTGAGCGTTTAATTTTTTATCAAATTTTGTAGGTGTTCGTTAGGGGATGACTAGATAGACGACCGATCGAACAACTGGGTGGACGATCGGATTGGAAAAGATTTGATGAAAATTTACTCTAGGTAGGATGACCGGTCAAATTTGATAGAACGATTAGAGCGCATCATATCAGATCAAAATTTTACTCAAATTTGATGACAAATTTGATACACCGCTGAAGATGCTCTTAGTGAAGAAATTTTATCAATTTAAATTCTAAAATTTTGATTTATTTTCAATATAAATCATTGCTTATTTCCGTTAAGTAAAAATGACGTAAAAAATGATATTTTAATTATTAAACTTAACAAGAAAATAATATTTTAAACATTTCATGTACAATTGTATTGGGTTTAATGAATAAAATATCATTTTTCTTCAATTTTAGTTAACAAAAATAGATTGATGGTTACATTAAAAATAAATCAAAAATTTAAAATTTAAATTGATAAAAAAAAAATCATTTTATTATAAGAGTGAAACTTCAAAAAAAAAAATGTAATTTTTTCAGATGGCATATTTTGATGAAAAAAAACATGATCCATGCACACTATGAACGTTATGATGGGCTTGGTCCATGTGCATGGCTATGACAAGCCATTTGGGGCATGATTAGGATACCTTTCAAATGGAAAATTTGAAAAGTGGAACATAAATATAAAACTTGTCAAAATTTTTTAGACCCGTTATTTTTTAATTTTTTTTTATTATAATTATACCCTAAAATAAAATTATATTAAAAGACATTATTAAATGGAACATCCACCTGTCAATAAGGACTAATACTCTATAATATTGGACGCCCACCCCCACCCCCAACTCCAACTATACGTATTCTATGTTTATAAACCCTAAACCTATTACTTTTTATAATTAACTAACATAAACCCTAAATCTATTATTTTTCATAATCATCTTAAATCCTGAATGTGTTATCTTCATCACCATCATCAACGCTATTGAATTTGAAAGTTTTGCTTCAAGTATAACGTATATTTCATCACTTATTTCACTATGTAGAGCAATAGAGGATCAGGACAACAATTCTAGTGAGACCGGCGTTCCATTGATAAGTTTATCTGTCTTGTATTAACATTTTTGGTCGTTTTCGGTCGTTCTTGTTTCGTTCGACCTGTTCGGTACTGGTTTGCTGACTGTTACAATTATGTTCGGTAATATAGTACTGAACATAATCCTTTCGTTCAATACATAGGTTCTGAACATTAATACAGATAGTTAGTTATGTAATTTTCTTTGTTAAACTAACTTAGAATGGAAAATAGTGAATTGGAATGGATTTAAGTTATGTATTTGAATGGATTTAATTCATGTTATTAAAGTTGTGAATTGGAATGGATTCAAGTTATACAGTGATGAACAAATTTTGTTCGGACATACAGTGCTGACAGGATCATTATTGTTCGACAAAACAGTTCTAAACAAAATATATTTTTTCGGCTACACAGTGATGAACAAATTGTTTTGGGCTACATTCAGAATATAACACATAATACACCAACACCACACCAAACCCAATCACACAACAATCCTATCCTCAATCTCTCAAGAAACCCACCAAACCCAATCACATAATAAATCGATCAATCGCACAAACCCTCCAATCTCAAATGGTTCGTCGGTGATCGTGACAGTAAACATTGACAGAGAGCTTCGCCATCTCATTTATGGAGGCTGGCGCGGTGGTGTGGTGAAAATTTGGGTAATGATTTGGTGGTCATGGTTCGGCGGTTGTGGCATAGACATTCATAGATGTGAAAGATGGAGGTGGTGGGTTATGAAGGATGGTCTGAGACAGAGTGATATTAAGAAACGAAATTATAAATTATGAATCACATTTTATTTTGAGTGGAATACACATTATAAATTTATAAAATACATTTAACATTAGGGATTATTTTTGAGATAAAATTCCATGGTAGATAGAATTCTCTATATACATATATACAATACAGAGTAAGAAACGAAATTCAGTTTCCAACATAATTTAAGATTTGAAATATGGAAAGCCAACCAAAATTAGAAGCTTAAGAAACCAAATCGAAGTCCAATATTACTTAGGTTTCTAAATACTAGAACTCAACCAAAAATTAAACTCTTCTGACTAGTACTATAAAATAAGGTCACTCACCCCATACCTTCATAGTCACCATTCTAAAACTCTCTCTCTCTCTCTCTCTCAAGCTTCATCATGGAAACTATATCAAGAAACTATGACATTGAAACATATGCGCCACCACAGATCAACCCACTACCTCTAGTTCGAGTTCCAACTGCAGCGCTCATCAAAATTTATGTCAACAATCTAGTTAAACTACAGCTCCGAACTCGTCAAGGCAATGTCGAATCCAATTATCCTACATTATTAATTGTTCTTGATATTCAACATGACTTCACCATTCCACTTCAACTTCTTCCCGTCTTCTTTTCGTGGGATCCCTATGTTTTCAACCAACTTTCGTCCATGGGATTCGATCTCGAACTCTGTAATTCCATGAAGGAACGCATCATCAGTTCTCTTTCCGGTTTAATTATTGCATATGGGGAGAGTCCTGGGTTTCAAGTCATTGTGCATTTGAGGATCACCACCACGCTCAGGTTGGGTTCTGCACAATTGATAGACGATCTAATGACGAATCTATTAGCCACAAATGGGGCGCTTATTGTGAACGATGATGGTAATATTGGAATTGTAGAGACGATAGCCACAAATGGGGCAATTATCGTGAATGATGATGATGGTTGTACGGGGAGCAAATATTCCACAGAGCCCGTACTCCTTTCTACCAAGCTCCTTGTCTGTCCGATCGACCTGCGAACACAACGGTGGTGAGCTACCCGGCGGTGTGTGACCGGAAAACCCCTCCGACGGTCAAGTTAGCATACACTCAGAGATAGAGAGAGAGAGAGAGAGAAAGAGAGTTGAGTGTTTAGGTTGTTCTCACCAAATGATGTTCCATGCCTACCATGGGGGGCGCAGTCATGCTTATACACCTTTCTGCGCTCACCTCTGCATCCATTCGCTCATTGACACGTGGAGCTGCCCTCCCATCTGTCAGCACAAATTCAGCTAAACATCACCTAATCAAACCACTAATTGACATCGGCGGGAATGGGCAGTCCGACGTAATTATCTTGGCCTCCTTCGACCGAGCTACTTATCGAGCCTAACAATGCCACTCGCTGAGCTCCATCACAACCAAGCTTCGTAGCACCCCAGTACGGCCGAGCTCCAGACAGGTTAGGCCGGTCCAAGGGAGACCTTCCCGCCGAGCTACATGCGCGACCATAAGACCCGGATCGGCAGACAATCATCTCGGCCTCCTTCGACCGAGCTACTTATCGAGCTCAACAGTGCCACTCGCCGTGCTCCATCACAACCGAGCTCAGCAGCACCCCAGTGCGACTGTGTTCCAGACGAGTTAGGCCGGTCTGCGGCAGATCACGATCACCGAGCTAAAAAGAGCGAACAAGAGAAAACAAGCTGGCAGAGGATCATCTCGGCCAACTCTGGTCTGGACTTCGGCCGAGCAAGCTTCACCTCGGCTCAGCCCAAATACGCTTGGACCACATTCAGCCCGGCCAGAACCGCGACCTAAGCCGAGATTACAAAAATCCCCCTCTCAATTGCACCTTAATTCCGTCTGCGCTAGCGTGACTGGGATTACATTACAAGGTCGGGCTATACTTTTTGCTCGGTGATCCACTTTGCTCGGTTTAGGAACTCCAAGGCGAGCGAGGTCCGCTCCGCGACTTGTTTCTTAGCGAGCAAGATCAGCTCGGCAAGGAACTCCAAAGAAGGCAAGCAAGGTCCGCTTCACAACTTTCTTCTTGGCAAGCAAGATCAGCTCGGCAAGGAACTTCATAGTTGACAAGTAAGGTACGCTCGGCGACTTGCCTCTTGGCGAGCAAGATCAGCTCGGCAAGGAACTCCAAGGTCGGCAAGCAAGGTCCGCTCGGCGACTTACCTCTTGGCGAGCAAGATCAGCTCGGCAAGGAACTCAAAGGTCGGCGAGCAAGGTCAGCTCGGCGACTTTCTTCTTAGCGAGCAAGACCAGCTCGACAAGGAACTCCAAGGTCGTGAGCAAGGTCCGCTCGGCGACTTGCTTCTTGGCGAGCAAGATCAGCTCAGCAAGGAACTCAAAGGTAGGTGAGCAAGGTCAGCTCGGCAACTGTCTTCTTAGCGAGCAAGATCAGCTCAGCAAGGAACTCCAAAGTCGGCGAGCAAGGTCCGCTTGGCGACTTACCTTTTGGCGAGCAAGATCAGCTCGGCAAGGAACTCCATGATCGGTGAGCAAGGTCCGCTCGGGGACTTACTTCTTGGCAAGCAAGATCAGCTCAGCAAAGAACTCCAAGGTCCGCTCGGCGACTTGCTTCTTGGCAAGCAAGATCAGCTCAGCAAGGAACTACAAGGTCGGCGAGCAAGGTTCGCTCGGCAACTTTCTTCTTGGTGAGCAAGATCAGCTCGGCAAGGAACTCCAAGGTCGGCGAGCAAGGTCCGCTCAGCGACTTTCTTCTTAGTGAGCAAGATCAGC